AAGAAAACAAGGACAAGAGAGGAGGTGAACAAAGATACCTAAGATGAGCAGACGGACACTTGGCTTGACAGACCTCCGGCATCCTCGATTCGACCTGAAATTGGTATTAACTGCATGTTCTCCTTGAGAACAAACGAACAATACTAATGTCAGGCCTAATCGTTCCTAGAAACTCAAAGACTTGAAAGATTTTTCTTCCCCTTCGATTTCAGATTTGAACAGGTCCGATTTGGCGAGGATTTTGGGAAAAATGGCGGTGGATTAGGATGGTCGCATGGCCGGATTTTGGTGGTGGTCGGAGCTATCTCGCCGGTGATAATGGCAGACTCGCTTAAAGGTGGCGTTATCTGATGAGGGAGATGAGAGAAGGGGTTCGTTTGGTCTTAGGTCTAACTGGGGATTTCGAACAGTCTTATTTGAGATAGGGGATGTGCTAGGGCCGTTGGATGAAGCAAAATCAATGGCTCAGATGAGAGGATGGCAAAACGGCGTCGTTTGGTTCATGTGGGGATCGGACCGGGTTGGGCGGATCTGGGCTGGACTTTAATGGGTATTAGGAACTGAATTGGGCTGGGAAATTTAATTTGGCCCAAAACTGATTTCTTTCCTTTTTCCTTTTCAAAAATCTTTTTAATTCCTTTTTTTTCTTTTTTCTAAAAATAAAATAAAACCCAACTTAATTCTTAACGCAAATTATCCTAGAAAATTAAATTAATTAACCTTATAATTATTACAACTAATTAAATACCAAATAAAGGAAAACCAACAAAATTCAAATCTAAAAATTGAATAATGCAAAATAAACCATTTTTTGTGATTTTCCCTTTTTATAAAACAATTAATTTGCTAATTAATCCTAAAGTATAGAATTAAATCCTAAATGCAAATGCAACATATTTTTGTATTTTTCATTAATTAAACAAAATTTACATGCGCAGACAAATGCAAACAATTAACGAAAAATGCTACAAAAATCTACGAAATTGCAAATAATGGGAAAATTTATTTTTCTTGAATCTATGGGAGTAATTCATATAGGGCAAAAATCACGTGCTCACAGTTGTTATATAGAGATGTTGTTATAGAGAGGTCTGACTATATATTGTTGCTCTTTGAATGATGATGAACAATTTAACAGTTAATGAATTTCAGTTATTTGAGCCATGATTCATTGTGAATGCCTCCAGTTATTTTTGTCTTTGTACACTATGAAATGGAATGATAGTGTATGTTGTATGAACTAATTAAACCCATAAAAAGAAAAATTAAAACAACAAGAATTTGGAACAAATCTGCCAATATATATATAAATATATATATATATATATATATATATATATATATATATATATATATATATATATATATATATATTGCTTCATAGAGACAATACATTGATCAAACTAAAACACAAATAGAGCTTCTGGTGAGTACATTCATCGAACTAAAACACAACTGGAGACTACATTAATCGAACTAAAACACAAATACATCTTCTGACATTCCGTTATCAAGATTATAGACAAAAAACACAAATACATTATTACATTGCATAACAAGCTAAAACACAATATTAGCTTCAAGACTTTTTTCCACTTCAATTATTTTTGTTGATTGTTGCTCTTCTTTAGCAAATCCAATATCACAACATTTGCTAGCCGATGGAATTGAGGGTCATACCACTCGAAATGTTCATATGGACTTCACCATTTAGACTATGTGAATCAAAATAAACAAAATCAGAACTTAAGAAAAATCAAACAAAATATAACCCATTCGAAAATTTCAGAAATTAACCTAACCCATAGTACTTACAACCGAAGAATTTGCGCTTGGGATTGTCATTCGACCATGAAATTTTCAATACTGGAGGACACACACACGCACAAAATAACTTCCGCTTCGAATCCATGAAGTGAAATTGGAAGAAGACTTAGAAAGTTGATGGCATGAAGAAGGAAAGGCACAACCTATGTTCTTTAATGGAGGAAGGGATGTAGAAGAGAATATATAAGAAAAAGAGAGAGAAAGAGCCATTGGAACAGTCACATTTGGGTTAAAATTTCTGTTCCTCGCGGCCAACTGAGTTTGTATCTACTTCCTATGTCAGATCAGCATAAAATGGATATTAAAAGATAAAAAATCAAGTGAATGAGGATATTTAGGACCCCATAAAGTAAAAGGGGGAACTAAATAAAAGTCGTCAAGTATTAGGGGGTCCCTAATATTTCCCTCTACATTTAACTGTTTAACAAAATATAATATAATAAGTTGTAACCAGAATACACATTTTTTTCTTTATTTTATTTTCTTGTTTCATTTCCTTTCTAATATTTCATACTCTTCAATTCCTCCATAAAATTTGAAATCATTATCCTTCCTTAAATAACCAAATCAACAATCCCCCTCTTATCAATCTTATGAAATATTTCAAAAAGTTAATATTCTCTTGATTAATTTTTACACTAATAAAAAGGCAAAACTATTACATATGAACTCACTAAAATTACAACCCTGCGGCAGATTAAGGTAATAAAATATGAATACATCGTTGATGATAGCGTCTTCATCAAGCTTGTATTTGACTCCTCAAATACTATCACTTGCAGCGACATATGTTCTTCTCTTCCCCATTTCTTAATTATTAGCCAAAAGATTTAAAATGAAAGAACCTTCGGGAGAAAAAAAAAGAAGATCTTTCTATAAAGAGAGCTTCAAATAAAAAGGAGAAAGTGAAGATGAATGATTACAGATGAATAGAAGAGAGTTATGTGATGAAGAAGATATGACTTAGTATTTTTAGTAACCAAAAGAAAAAGAAGTAACCTATACAATTGATAACTTTAGTTGGGTAATAGGAATACATTGTAATGTATACTGAGCCATTATTCTAGTATAATTAGCATTATGAGTACTATGATTTTATGCATCTTTACAACTTTAATTACAACCGTTTCACTTTTTTCTCTTGGAAAGAATAAAATATATACGTATTTAATAGAAAAGAAAGAGGAATAAGGCAAAAAATTGAGAAAAAGATAAATACTTTTTTTTTGCGAAAGAGAGGTGCTAAGGCAGTACTCTTTATATATATATATGATAAAATGACCACCGAACCACTTAAACTTGTACCCATTTTTCAACCAGGTAAAGGAACTTACATGTTTCCCATTTGAACACCTCAACTTAATATAAATATAAAAAATAAACACCTCAAACTGAGCGTGTGCCTCAATCGCTTAGACATAATTGACACGTCACTTTCTTTGCCTATTATTGTTTGACACGTATAATTTGTGGGTCCTAATCTTTATTTAACAATTTTATTAAAATTTCTGGATTTTTTTTTTCTTCTTCCTCGGGTGGCCACCTGTATCCCTTCCACCATGAACACCTCATTCCTCTACTCTAAAACTCCCCAAATCAATTACAAAAATAAGTGGAAATTCATTAATAGGAGTGACAGAAGGCCTTGCATGAGTATTCCCATCAATTCCCACCATTCTTCTTTAGTTTTACTATCGCCGATATCACAATTTCCGATTAGTATTTCGCCGGAAATTTTTACAAACTGTTATTAGCCCTCTGGTTCCTTCTTATTCATCAAAAATTCAATTTTTTTGTTATATTCCCTTCTGAGACAGATCCCGAATCCCTTGAAATTGGATTAGCCACTGTTCTAAGATTTACCGTCACCAAAAGCTCGCCGGAGTAATGGGCAAATTTCAAATCTTCTCTACCCATAAAATAAAATAAAAGATCCCCAGCATGGCTATTCCAACCAACCCCAATACTTCTTTCCTCAATTTCGCATTCGCCGGTGTCCAAATTTCGCCCGTCTCCCTTAGCGATCTGTTTGCATCTTATAGCAAAAATTGTGCTCTAGATGCTAATGGTTGAAAATAGTGTTTGTGTTAGCAGTGATGAAAGAGGTGATAATGATGATTTTGAATGTGGTGTTTGAGTAAGAGAAATTTTTTGGAGAAGATGAAGGAATGAGATAGAGATGACGACGAATAAAGGGGGTTCTAGAAATTACTTTTTCCTTGTTTTGTTTTTAATTTTATCTGTTGCTTTTATTTCATTTTATCTATTTTTTTGTAATTTTAGTATTTTTTTTTCTCTCATATTCATTGTATACACGCGCTTCACAAGCGTGATTAGCACACATTTTTGTCACGGTCAGTTACATTGTTGACACATAACCATGGTCAACGGTCAAAGGGGTTTAAAATTGTGCAAATGAATGAGTTTAAGTGTTCAAATGGGAAACACATAAGTTCCTTTACCGGGTTGAAAAACTGATCCAAGTTTAAGCGGCGAGGCCGTTTTGCCTATATATAAATATAACATAAATTAGTTACTAAACAATTTGGTAGGTTTTCTATAAAAATAATAAAAGATTTATCTCTTTATTCTTTTGATGAATTCAAACTTATAATTTAGAAAAAAATTATATTATTTAAATTTTCAGTAAAATAGAAAATGAGAAAATTAATCAAATATTACAGTAAATAAGAGGGGGATATAGATAATTTTGTAATATTTATATTTTGAATTAATTAATAAATAAAAAATAAATAAATAACACTCAGAAAATTATTGATAAATTTAGGCAATTGAAGAATTTTGAACAATATAACATCAGTTTAAAAAAAAAATCCAGAGTAAGAAAATATATATTTATAATATATTAAAAGAGAATTATTATCAAAATATTAAGCCAATTGACAAGTTAATAAAAAGTCATATTAGTAAATATATAATAATAAGTACTTGCTAATATAATAATAATAATAAAGAATAAATAAGAAACTAATAATTTATTTGACTACTATATAATATATATTCTTTGATTTTGTATAAATTTTATTATATTCTGTATACTATATTAAGTAATAAAATAATAACTAATATATATATATATATATATATTATAATACAATAATATATTAGATCATAATTACAAGATTAATATTCTATCAAATTACGACCGACCTCGAGCGCAGGCTAAGACCTTAAGAAGCTAGCTTCATAGTCTTAGGTTTCTTATTTGGAGAAAGCCGACAGCAAGCCTATTAAAACTTAGGGGTTAAAAACTTTGGTGCTAAAATCAAAGGGAGAGGGAGATTTGCTAATTAATTGATGATGGAGGAGTTAAGTGAAGGAGTGAACAATATGAACATTAGCGGAGGAGACCTTCAGAAGAAGAATCGTATTCAGGTTTCTAATACCAAGAAACCCTTGTTCTTCTACGTCAATCTTGCCAAGGTAAAATTAATATCTTAGGATTTTGTTTTGTACCCTATTTTAGACTGAGTAATTCGTGTTGTTTTTGGCAGAGGTATATGCAGCAGTACAATGACGTGGAACTTTCTGCTCTTGGGATGGGTACGTTTCCAAACTTCCTCCGTTGTTTCTTTTCATTTTTTAATTCTAATTTGTTTATTAAGCTTAACCCTGTTTATGTACAATGACAATTTGTACTTTTGTGCTATAAAACACACTCTTTGTTTTGAACAATTTAAAATCTAGTATTTGAAAATAAAACAACATTAACTTTAAGTGTCTGGTAGAATAGTCCAACTGTTGGTCGCCCTTTAAGAGTATTTTACGTTTTTACTATATTCCTGCAGAATTAGTGTCATTGTGATTTGAAAGATAGGCACAAGTCAAGACTTCATTGCAATTTGTAGATAATTGTTGCTTAATTGATGACATCTGTGTACGTCTGCAGCTATTGCCACGGTTGTCTCAATTGCTGAAATTCTGAAGAGCAATGGGTTTGCTGTGGAGAAGAGTACGTCTTTCGATTCTTGCATTTCCTCGTGTTGTTGGGAGTCTTCTAGCAAATTTAATCTAAAAAGAAAAAAAAAACTCTTTTCTCTTAAAGTCGAAAATCTTTTTTGGCTTTGCTGTTTATAAGATGCTGAAGCATAAACTTTGGTGGTTCACAGAGATTATGACATCAACTGTTGATGTTAAGGATGGCTCCAGAGGGCGTCCCGTCTCCAAAGCCAAAGTAAGTTATGAAATCTTCTTTTCCCTGTTGTATAGTATATGCTGTGCAATTATTATATTATTAGATAAAATGCACCAGGCAGCAGGCACCTCTAAACATTTGGCCTTTGTCCACGAGATTAGGATATCACTACTGCAGGGTCCCTCTTCTATAATAGATAGACTTTCAAGCCACGCTTCCCTTACGATAATTGTAACCGTGTATCTGTAGAAATATGTCTTTGATGCTGTCATTTTGAAATGCCCGCTTGTTTCATTTTCAAAGAGCAAAGTTGGCTTGATGTGCGCATATGTGGCAGCGGGAGCAAGAAAAAACAAATAATCTCTTTCTTGTCCTCCTTTCCTACTTTAGTGTTTTTCCATAACTGTTGATGTATTAAGCCTAGTGGCATGCTCTATGGCCTAGCATCATATGGATCATTTATAAGCTGCACGCCTGAAAACAATTGACTTATGCTTGATATAAAGCATTGTACATTATGTAAACTAACAATTTTGCTTATTAAACTATATATGGCATAAAATATATCTCTCATTGGTTGGTTTCAGATTGAGGTATTGCTGGGAAAGAGTGAAAAATTCGATGACTTGATGGCGGCTGCGGCAGAGAGGGAACTTGGAGATGGTGAGGAGCAGAGTTAAGAGCAAGCTCCTTTTTTTATATGAATTTTTGGAGTCTGTTTTTTATTCAAACAAACGAGCATCTGCAGTGAGTGTGATTACCTAGAATAGTTGTTTGTTTGAATTGTTAGGAGTATACCCTATCTGGTAAGATGAAGTGAAGTTTTGTTGCTTGACAACTTTGGCCTTTTAGGTGAATATATATGGCTTGATGATAATATGCTGAAAGTTGAGTCAGTGAAGATTTGCTTATATTTCTATGTATCTCTAGCCGAGGGTCTATCGGAAACAGTCTCTCTACCCTTCCAGTGGTAGGGGTAATGCTGCGTACATCTTACCCTCCCCAGACCCCACTTGTGGGAAATTACTAGGTTTGTTGTTGTTGTTGTTGTTGTTGTTGTTGTTGTTAAATATTTCTATGTATGCGTAAATACAATTTAACACTGATAGGGTTCCCATGGATACATACTGACAAGACTTGTAGGGTTATACTTTCGTCCGTTGTTAAGTAATGGTACTTTTGGTCAGTAGACTGACTAGGATCCTAGCACCAGTTGGATACTGAGGCAATTTCTTCTGAAGTCCAGGATACTGTTGTTGTTGTTGAAGTCCTGGACTGAGATGACAGAAGATTCAGCAATTAAGATTTGTGATGCTTGAATTGCAATTGTGGAGTGAGTATCTTGTGAACCTTGGATTTATCATGTGGTTGTTCCAAGTTGCAACATCTAAACAAAGACAAAGGTGAGCCTGGGTATATACTTTTCGTTCAAAAACGAGATCATCTTATGAAAATACATATATGGATATAGCATCGAGGGATTTTGAGGAGTAAGTTAATAAATTATGGCTCTTGAGTTAAGTGAGTAATGATTTATGAAGTACATGATAAATTCTTCCTCTACAGTAAGACTCTAAACTACACCAGCGCTACACTGATTTTCCATTTGAATATTTTCAGAGTTCTATTTTAATTTATTTCTTATAGAATATCGGCTATGTCTATTTATAAGTTGCTCATTACAAAAATTGACCAATTCATGAAATATTACTAATATTAGCCAAATATTATTAATATTAGCCAATTAGCTATTTGTAGCAAACAAAAGTCAAATTTTTGCTTTCTGTTGAGTGAGTGTTATTAGAATAGATTGGGTACATCTTAAGGAGCTTGGATCTCAGTTTTGGGATGATTTGGTGAAATTTTGAGGTGGTTTGAATTGAAAAATTCGAAGTAAAAACTGAACATGAAAAAAAATGATATGTGTGTCGCACTGTATCATTTGTGTATCACATATGTATCATATTTGTATCAATTGTGTATCACATGTATATCTATGTATACCTGTGTGTGAGATACATGCGTGATACATGTTTGATACATGTGTCGCAGAAGAATTTTTTGAACTCGATTTAATTACAAATTTTGATACAAAACTAGTCCAAATCACCTCCAATCTTCCTCAAATTTTCTATATTGACTTATCTATAGGTTTTCAATGAATTTCAACTATAGCCAATGAAAAAGTTTCTTTTTGCTTAGATTTTTGGAATATTGTGTATATATATATATATATATTTGTATTTCATCACCTTATTTGCTACATCGTCCATGAAATTTCCTTTCCGTCTTGCATCTAATGTTGCTAATCCTGCTTAAAAATATGAAAGGTGATTTTTGCATGTGATTCTTTGAGAAAAAGAACCTTATTTATTTGGTTTTTCAATTTTCATATGTACTTGGCTAGTTTTGGTAAGTCTATGAGTAATGGCTAGAGGTTGGTAAGTTATTATTTGGGACATTTGTGTAAGTTTCCATATTCTAAAATCGGGGCATTTGCATCTATACCCGCTTTTTGGGTCACCTTTTAACTTATACCCGCTTCGCAAAAAAAATTACAAGCGTGCCCACTTTTCGTGTAATTTCAGACATACGGGCCTGAAGTAGCAAAAATTTATGTCTGAAGTTTGAACTTCAAAATGTTTTGCCTGAGGTGTAGCAGAACTTTAGATATTTTTGCATGAAGTTTGGCCTGACTTGCAAAGGCAATCACGCAAACTTCAGTTCATAGTGCAAATGGAAAACTTCAGTTCAATAAAACTACAGCATGTTTTGGCTGAAGTTTTTGTTTGTAATTGCTGAACTTCAGCATTCTAGTAGCTGAAACTTTGTTCTATTTGCTAAAATTCAGCATGTTTTAGCTGAAGCTTTGTTCTGTATTTGCTGAACTTCAGCATGTTTTGGCTGAAACTTTGTTCTGTTTGTGATGAACTCAGCATTCTAGGGCTGAAGTTTATTTTGTATTTGCTGAACTCATTCTTAGAGCTGAAGTTCTAAACAACAATGTTTAATAAATCATGATTAGCAGCGATTGATGTTGTTCATTTCAAAGATTAAAGAATGAAAAATATTTTCGACATGAAAACAAGTTACTACGGATAAACTAGAACCAAAAACCAATGTGCATATAAAGCTAAAATATCTAAGAGGTTAAATATTGTAAATAAGACCAAACTGAACATAATGGGACAAGCAGATATATATGAATCATCAAGGTAGAACGCATAACAATATCTCAAGCTTCAGCAGTCAGAAAACAAAGGAGGAGAAAGAGGCCTGAAGTTGTTGAAATAGTGGGTACAAGTTAAAAATTTTTTAAAATTGGGTATAAGTTAAATGGGGGCGACCAAATAGGGCGCCCTGTGCAATTTTTACTCTAAAATCTGATACATATCCTTAATTTCTTGCCACCCTAGTAAAGTTAAGAGCCATAAAATCAGTGGATGAAATATACATATTTCATAATATGTTGTTCTCATACTCTATTTCTCACGCCAAAAGCTCCAAAGTAGAATCTGCATCACAAGTCCTTATTTTATCCTCTCAACAAACAGTTGCTTGTAGCCAGTGGTAACTGTTAACAAGCTGGAATCGACATGGATTTTGAGGAAAATTCTAACTAGGGCTTGAAGTTTTTATAGAAAAAGAGAGAGAGAGAGAGAGAGAGAGAACGAGCTGAGTGTTATTTCATCGAAAATAAAATGTTTTCCCTATACCAAATAGAATGTGGGCCACTATATTTATATGACCAGATTCAAACCACTTAAGCTATAAATAAAAAAACGTGGGCCAAGCCCAAACCAAGTACACTAACTACACGAACTAGCCCACATCAGTACAAATAATGGACTCAACACCCTTTATCAAGTTGGAGGGTGGTAACACACCCAACTTGCTGATATGGAGACGATGGACTGCCCCAGGCAAAGGTTTGGTGAGAATATCAGCCATTTGGGTAGAGCTGGAAGTGTGCAGTAGAGAAATCAAGCCATCAGCCAGTTTGGTGCGCACAAAGTGACAATTCAACTCTATATGCTTGGTCCGCTCATGGAAAACATGATTCTTTGCAATGTATATGGCAGCCTGGTTATCACAGTAGACAGGAATAGAAGAAAGATTAGTAAACCCAAATCAGATAAAAGTCTAGAAAGCCAGGTAATCTCAGCCACAGCCTTGCTCGAGGACCTATACTCAGCTTCAGCGGAGGATAAAGAGACAACAGGCTGTTTCTTGGATTTCCAGCTGACCAAACTGCCACCCAGCATAATGCAAAAACCAGTTACTGACCGTCTACTATCAGGACAAGACCGCCAATCACTGTCACAATAAACTTGAAGAGAAAAATCAGAGGAGTTGTTGAAAAACAACCCAAAATCAGAAGTCCCTCTCAAGTACCTCAAGAGGTGCAAGGCAGCTTTCATATGAGGAACACAAGGATGCTGCATGAATTGGCTTAGATGCTGCACAGAAAATGACAAATCTGGCCTAGTATGTGTTAAGAAATTTAACTTGCCAATCAAACTCCTATACAGCTCAGGATTGGGTAAAGGATCACCCACATTGGCCTTCAACTTTTCATGTAGCTCAAGAGGGCAGAAGGAGAAGAGACATCAGAACAAAACTCTTGTAGGAGATCATGAATGAACTTGCGTTGGTGGAGTAAAACACCAGAAGGAGTGTACAAAACCTCAATACCAAGAAAATAATTCAACAAGCCTAAGTCTTTCATTTTGAACTGAGCATGCAAGAAAGCTTTCAAGGCAGAAATTTCATCTAAATCAGTCCCAATAAGAACTATGTCATCCACATAAACAGCCAAGATAACAAGAGAATCCCCAGACCTTCTAGTAAACAAATAATAATCATTGAAGGAGTGAACATAGACCCTAGACTGTAAGGCATGGGAAAGTTTGGCATACCACTGCCTGGAAGCTTGCCTTAGCCCATAGAGAGATTTTTGCAACTTGCACACAAGGGTACCACATGAGGAAGTGGAGGGAACGGACAATCCAGGAGGAAGTTTCATATACAATTCCTCATCCAAATCACCATGCAAGAATGCATTATTTACATCTAGCTGAAAAAGAGGCCATTTCCTTTTGACTGCTACAGCAATAAGAGTCTTAATAGTAGACATTTTCACAACAGGAGAAAAAGTTTCATGAAAATCAACCCCCTCAACCTGAGTATCATCCCTAACCACCAACCTAGCTTTGTACCTCTCAATCGTGCCATCAGCTCTATATTTAACCTTGTACACCCATTTGCAGCCTATGGGTTTCTTATCATGGGGCAATTCAACAATGTCCCAAGTTTGATTTGCTTCCAAAACCTCAAACTCTTTTCTCATGGCATCCTGCCACTCAGGGACAGGAGCTGCCTGAGAGTAAGTGAAAGGCTCAAAAATAGGCTGCTAACTAAAAGGAGAATTAGAGGAAACAGAACTGGAGCTTAATGATGAAGAGTGGCATACATAACTTTGAAGGTAAGAAGGCTGCTTATGCACCCTAATAGATCTTCTGAGTGTAGGAGGAGACGGGGAAGAGGCATGTAGAGGAGGAGAAGAGGAAGGAACAGAAGCAGATGAAGGAGGAGAAGCTGAAGAAATAGAAGAGGATGAAGAGGGAGATATAGGAGCAGAAGAATTAGAAGCAGGAGTAAGTAGGGGAGAACCATTAGAAATGGGAGATAATGGAGGAGATGAGGTAGGAGATGAAGAAAGAACATAGGATGAGGTAAGGGAAAAGTCATCAGAACAAGTAGAAAAAGGAAAAGGACAGATGCTAGAAGCACCAGAAGAGGATTGAAGAAATGGGAAAATGTGCTCATGAAAAACAACCTCTCTAGATACAAAGCAAGAGTTAGTTTCCAAGTTATACAGTTTGTAACCCTTCTTAGCAAAAGGGTACCCCAAGAATACACAGGATAAAGCTCTAGGTTGAAACTTGTCTTTATGTGTTTTAGGAACAGTAGAGTAGCAAAGACAACCAAATGCCCTAAGGTGAGAATAGCTGGGAGGTTTACTATATAAGATTTCATAAGGGATTTTGTGATTTAGTAAAGGGGAAGGGAACCTGTCGATCAAATAAGTGGCAGTCAAGAC